TATGTTAATGGTAATAAATGAAGAGTAAGAGAATTAAAAAAAAATGGTGTAAATATTTCTCACCTCAAAAACCATGAGGGAAAAAAGTAACCATCGCAAAAAATATTTTCCCTTCTTTTCAACAGTAACCAACGTAAACAAAAAAAAGTATAAAAAATATTTTAATTTGATTGGTGAAATATTAGCGTAAGTGAGAGTAATTGAATTTCTAGTTGAAATGTTCTCGCTATAAATGACAAACATTCGTAGTCAAAAAGATGGAAAAGGGTGGGAAATAAAAAAGGTAGAAAAGAGATGAAAGAGAAAAAGGTGGAGTAAACTTTTACTCTCATAAAACCCAGAGTAAAAATTAGAGCATAAGCAGTGGTGATATAATGTGGGTATCATTAAATATAAAATTATTAAAATTTGAATAAAAAAAAGAAAAAGAGTGTTTTTATTGAAATAATGGGATTTATTGAAATATAAAATTAATAAAATTTGAGTAAAGAGAAGAGATAGTGAATATTTTTAGAGAGAAAGTATCAAATAGTTGATACTTTTGATACTTTTGAATAGAGAAATAGTGTGTTTTTAATAATTTTATATTTAAAGAGAGTATAAAATTAATAAAAGTTGAGTAAAAGGATAAAAGAAAAGATATAAAGTTGAGTAAAAGAAAAAAAGAGTGTGTGTTTTAATAATTTTATATTTAATGATACAAATGTTGTATCACTAATGCAGATGCTCTTAGAGAGAATTTTCCTCCCCCAATAGTAACCAGCGTAAATGAAAGAAAAGTATATTTATTTGATTGGTGGACTTTTAGTTGAAGTGTAACTATCAAATCTAGAGTAATATATTACTCTATTGATAGCTAACATTCACACCCGTTGATTTATATGATGAATTTCATGTTGGTAATTCTGATATGGTTATTATGTTCACTCTAGGTCAAGTAATTAGAACTTAGATGTCTGCCAAATCATTTTAGAGAAAAAGATTTTAAATCCTAAACCTCAAAAACTAAACTCCTGACGTAGTTAATCCAAACATAAATAATATTTTGAATAAACAATATAATATTAGTGACATTTTTAAAAAATGACATTTCTCAAAAATCTTCAAATTTTTTCCATACGTTAGACCGTAGAAAAGTAGAAACATTATTTAACAGAAATCTAAACTCATATGGAAATGTAATCATGTACGATGAATATCACTATATTTTCTTTTGAATATTAATCTTTTCTTATGTTTGCATAGGGTTTCATTGGTGATATATGTATAATATACTCTTTAAATTTTAATAAAACGTAAAAATTTGGATCCCAAAAATACAGTGGAAACTGCAATTCAGATCGGGCTACCTATAACAAA